TGCTCTGTACATGACGGGTGCGGCGCCCCAACTCCCCAATCAGCCCTGCTCTGAGCCTGACCAAGGTCTACACCTAGGGATTGGGCCTGCCCTCTGCCACCCGGGAGCAGGCCTAAGCCAGCAGGTCATTATCTCCCGAGGGGTCCCAGACTGTGAGAGGGCACAGGCCGGGCTGAGGGACCCCCCTCCCCCCCCCACCCGAGTGCACAAATTTTTGTGCACTGGGCCTCTAGTTTATTAATAAATGGTGGCTGCCAGGGGCTGGGTGTGGGCAGGGAAAATGGGTATAAAGTTTCAATTAGACAAGATGAGTAAGTTCTAGACACAGTGCCTGTAGTTAACAATACTGTACTGTACACTTACAAATGTACTAAGCAGGTAGATCTCATATTGTGTTCTTATAATAACTAACTAAACAAATAACCCAACCACCAACTCTGTTCAACCAGAATTGCCTGAAAAGAAGGTATGAAGAAAATATTCTTCTGATTAGGGTGCTAACTCTTCTTCACCCCTGGCGTTTCCATCAGGTAGGATTTTCCTAAGCTTCCCCTGCAGAGGTGAGAGAGGAAGGTCCAGTTGCCTCCTCCCCGTTTCTCTTTGGAGCAGTCTGCATGGAGAAGAGTCTGGCCTCCAGCTTTGCTCCTGATGAACAAGACTGTGCTTATGAGTAAGCATTACAGTAAGTTGGCCGAGCCTGGGCTGCAGGGCCACTCTGCATGTTGTCCATGAACACTGGCCCTTCACTGTGGTCTGTCAGCATCTAATGCACATCTTCTAGCTCATAACTTAGAGCAATGGGATATTACTTCTGGGCCCATTAAGCTCCAACATCTATGACTGAGAGAAGAAACTGATAGGTAGTCAACTCTAGAATCTTCCATGTGGTGGCTGCAAGGCTCCCTAAGTCCTCCTTTAGTTTCCAAGCCATTTGTGGGACCCAGGCTGACATAAAGAGTAAGTTATACAGGAAAGTTGCCTCAGTTCGGGAGAATAAATGACTTTCTTTGTGACTGCTATATACGGACAGGGAAATCTCCATTACCCTTTAAATTTTTTATTTTATTATACATTACTAACTGACATATAAAAAAGAAGTACTGCCTCCATAACACATACTTTGTATCCATTTAATTATGATGTAACCTTGAAATTGATTCCTAAATTCCTTTATAATTCAAAGGTTTAAGTATTTTAAATAAGTAAAATTAATTCATGTTAACTGAAATTAACCTAAGAAACAAATCCAGAAATGCTTCCTTATCAGAGAACACATAAAGACTAAAAATCGTTTACCATGGAAAACCACGAAAATTGTATCATCTCCCAGTTTCCCTCCCCGTTTTTGACTTGTGTTGTTTAAAAGTGTGTGTTTGCTACACAAAGCCTTCCTTTTTCACCTCATGTTCCCCCAAGCATTTGAACCCGAGGTGAATTATTTAATTCTGTGATTATGACATCAACCTGTTGCTATGGAAATGTCTGTGATTTAACAAACAGAATCATAACAATAGTGCTTTGTACTATTTAGCATTTTTCATCTGAAGATTAAAAAGTATTTTGAAAACAGTATCTGAATAATCCTAGCAACCTCCCTGTTAGGGTGTTGGTGGGAATTTTTCCTTCTCATGAATTGGAAGAACTGAGACAGAAACAGAAGCAGAATGTTTTACACAGATCCACTCTGTCAGCATCTGAGCCTGGCCCGGGGCCCACGTGTATTCCCACTAAGGACAAGCCGCACATGACTGCTATTTGATTACAGAATCACAGGGGTGTAATCTCTATGGCACAAATATAAGCAGACGATTCCTGAACTTGACGTAAGTTCAATGGCCAATGTCCTTCAGCGTTAAGCGTCAACGTGTGCTTACTTGAGCCCTTTATAGAAAGTGTCCTTGAGGACCTAGAAAACCTTCTCATGGTGAGAGCCACTGTCTCTAAGGAAAGCGGACTGAACTCAGTGAAGCTATTTTAAACGTTCGCTGGGTCCTTTCGGACACTTTTTCTACAGGAAACAATCCTAAACTGACAAGGAGAATGTTCAGCTGGATTAGCACGGGGGAACTTTCCCCGCTTGCTGTGCTGGGTCCTGTAATCCACACCAGATGTCAAATCCTGAAGTTCCAAGTTCAGAATTTCAAAAGATTGTCTCCGGTGTGATCATAAACACATTTGGCGGGGCTGCTAAGTCACACACAAAAACAAACGTCTAACAAATCATTTTTTTTTAAAAAAAAGAGAAAACGAAACTACGTCCAGACATGAACATACTGAAGAAATGTACCTTTGAACCATTTCACTTGGGGCGGAGGGACCCCGGAGGTTTTGCATTCCATCACCGTTGTGTCCCCCAGGGCAACCAAGAGCTCACTCTGAACGACGATCAGCTTGGGGGCTTCTGAAAACAACAAACACGCAAAGAGTTAATGTCTACACAAAGCCAAGTGCACCTTGTCTATGTTTACAAAAGGAACCAATGAAAATGTCTACCATGACTTATGGGCTTGTGGCTATTTCAGTGTTTATAAACAGAAAGAAACTCTTAGAAGCAGATATATGCACATGGATGTGTGTGTTGAAAAGATGAAGCCAAAAGAGGATACCAGGCAAAAATGATTCTGATAAAACAGAGTCCAAAACATTTAGGAAATGAATAGTCTTTATGAAAAAAAAAAGAGGTACATAAGGAAAGAAAAAATTTGGAAAGCTGAATACATCTTATAGAAATAATACTAAAGGAGCAGAAAGAAGGATAATAGTAATAGAAATACAGTAAAGGAGTGATGATGGTAACACTGAGCTGGCTACACTAGGACTTGAGGATAATATAACTGCAAGTGACTGTGTTATAACATTTCTATGAGATTTAAAGGATATTCGTGTTTAATGACAGAGTGTAGTTGTAGGCCAAGGTTAAAATTTGCATCTATAAAGAGTAGTCTCCTAGTTCTGACTCTGTTCTTCTCTTAGATGCTTGCTTCTTCCCTTTGCCTGATGCTTAGGTTCACTCACACATTTTTCTCTTAACTGGACATTTTAGAACTTTCTAACATCCACTGCGATTTGTTTAACAAAGCCAAGAGACAGCGTCTCAAAAATCACATTTCTCCTCTATTAGAGAACCTCCAGGTTTTCATAATTCCCTAGTTTGTCTTTCAAAAATCATAACCAGCCACAGCTTTACCCTCTATGACAGTCCGTTACTTATCACAAGGTATGGACTTACATGGGCAGTCCAGGCCACACCCTACTCTCTATCTTCCTGCTTTTGCTAAAGCTGTTTCATCTGTCTGAAATGTCCCTTGTCACAACTCTAAATCCCACTCATTCTTCCAGACTGAGCTTTCATCCTGTGTCTTTTGAGAAATCTTTGCAAATTCCCCAGTAGAAATTAGTCTTCTGTTCTGCCTAACTTCCATTGTGGACTTAGCTGACGGACTGCCTGATTCTATTTCTTTAAGTGTATCCACTCCCATTACGCAAGCTCTTGAAAAGTAAGGACTCTGGGTAACATGCATTTAAGAAGTTTACACTCCATATTCTCCAGCACCGCATTTTACATATTCTGGGTGATAAGTTAAATAAATGGGTCCAACAGTTTGGCTTCTTTAAAAATGAACCAAAATTTGTTTCTGCAATGCAGAATCTGTTTCAACCTCCTTTCTGCATTCCCAGTGGTCTGTTCCCTCTCCATCTGGGTGTTCTGGGAACGTTTTAAATGATCTCTACATCTGAGCCCTCTTCCTTCTCCACTTATTTGCTATGTGCCTTGCCCATTTCTATAAACGTGACCGCTTCTTTCCCAGCTATCAGATACAATATTTATGCCACTTTTATTACCTCCCTCATCTATACACACCAACTATAACTCTCAATGTTTACTATGGATCTTTTACACCCTTCCTCTCCACTGCCTGTTTCACTACCTTATGAATGGCAAATAAGAATGAATGAAAAGGAGGATCGCTAGCCATTAATTATTCACAGTTTACAAACTAACATTGAACACCTATGCCATTGTCCTTTATTTATTAAAGGAAGACCAAACTAAAAAATATTCTATTACATAGTTTATATTACTGGAATGTGTAACGTATATATTAGAATATTAGATTACATCATATATTAGATTACATTATATATTAGAACATATTTTCTTCTATTACATTGTGGAATGTTATGTTATAGAATAATTGTCATGAAGTGCATCGTCAATAAATATTTGAGTTTGGAGGGGAAAGCTGAAGATGAAAATTGAAAATAACATCCAGACAAGATAAATAACATAAATGGTCTAAACATTTACTTATGACAGAAATGTTAGAAACAGTTTTGAACGCAAGTGTGAAATATAAAATAGAAGTTGAGAAAACTAGGAAATATATTGGATTGATTAATTAGCAAGTGAAATACTACAGAGACCAGGTGAACCATGGAAGGACAGAGCTCTGGGTAATCTGGAACTCTTCCACACTCTGGAAGCTTCCTTGATAATTCTGCTGACTAATGAAGCTATTCACTCCCTGACTTTTAACTTAAATTCTTTACAATGTTTGCTTTCATCATTGTGTGAGAATGAATAATAAATTAAAAGACTAGGCATAATTCATTCCTAATCTTAATTTTCAGCAAAGTACTTTTACCTTGCTTAACATGACATCCATCCTATTTTCATTGTCCTTTAAACTGATTATACTTGCCAATGTATCTGAGGGTAGAAGTCTGTTTATCTGTTCCCGCTGAATTACTTGCCAGACAACCATAGACCCCTGCATCTTTGGGAATTGCATTTCTGATAAATAAGGTACCTTCTGAGGTCATCCTATACCTGTGGACAAAAAGAAAAGAAAATAGGAAATACCCTAATAACAGTCTCAAGGCATCCTTCTTCCAAGTATCTTCAAATATTTTAGAGTTATATTTTTGCTACTGACTGCAGAAATGATTAGCATTATCATTTTACAAGCAGAAGAGTAATATTAATAATTAATAATAATAATAAATCCTATATATCCAGTACTTCTGTGAGCCAGGGATTGCTCTAGGAGCTGTACATGTATTAATGGTTTGCATTTTGAAACAACCCAATGAGTTAGATACTATTATTATCTCTGTTTTACAGATGAGCAAAGAGGTTCCATAACTCACCCAAAGTTAGGCTTAGTAAATGGAGGACGTGGAATTTGCACCCAGAAATCACGTTCTGTGTGAACCACTATGCTAAACCGTTCCTTAAAATAAAAACATGGGAGATGCAAGGCTTTGTGTCACACAGGGAGTCACTGATGAGCCTAGGAATAGAATGTGGCTCACACCTGAGCCCTGCTCCTCATGCCAAACCCAGAGTAAGGGGAGCCCAGTAGCTGGACATGTCCCTGCTGATGTTCCACATGCTCATTACACTCTTGGAGCATGAGAGGATTCAATGTCTTTTAAAAGCATCCAGTTGGAAAAAAAAATATATTTCAATGGAGTATGGCGAAAGTGAACAGGGATTACCAAGGATGTCTGCACACACTTCAGTTGGAGCTACTGTTCTGTCCTTTGTCTCTACGCTCTCCTGTTAAATCCCAGGACCACACCTTAAGTTCATTCCACTCATTTCAAATATTCAAGGCAAACCAAGTGTCACAGTGTTATGTTTGAACACAAAGTATTGGAAAGCACTTGATCCCAGCTTTTAAATTCAAGACTTCAGGACCTCAAGTTCTATAGATTAATCATTTATTATTTTATTGACATTTCCTGGCCTATTTAGAAAATCTACAGGCATGGATTTTGGTCAAACCTCCCTTAACCATAGGGACTTGTTCAGATTAGTTTTGTCCAGAAATTTCATTCACTTTTCTCACTCAGTAAAAACAAAGAACATGATACAAACCCAGTACCTGTGTGAACCCACGAGAAACATATCATTCATGGTCCAGGCGACCTTGGGTTTGGGATAACCTGTTGCAGAACACATGATGGAGACCTCAGATCCTCCTGTGAAGGATTGGTTCTTGGGCATCACAGTGACTTTGGGCGGTTCTGCAAATAAAAAGAAACATATACAATGAAATGCCAACCTACTTTGATTTTAGGAGCTTCCTCAGTTAGCAAACTGGCAGACTTCTCACCACCACACCTCCTCCCCTTTTTTCCCCTTTGCACTTCCAAGAGTTCATTTATAAAAAGTAACGAACAACTGAGTGTAGTACCAATTCAGCAGACTTGCACCCCAAGGCCTGCAGAAGGGGCAGACTCTACTTTCTGACTCTCCAAGGCCCAGGATGCACAGGGGTCCTGGACCCCCAGAGCCCTTCCTCTCCTTGAGAGCCTGGTGCAGACTCTGGCCAGGACCCTGGAGCCTGCCTCTGCACCCCACAGGCCTGGGGCAGGAGAGTGGAAGGACTTACCTCTGGCCATTTTTTCCAAGCCCTAGAAGCTCTGCCCATCTGGAACCTCAAAGCCTGCACATACTCCTGGATCCTGAAGGCATGAGGATGGGCACAGGCCTGCCCTCAGAGATTGGGGAGGGTCTAGCTGACTTTCCTTTGGGGGATATCAGGAGCCTGGATCCAAGGCTAGTGACAGGAAGGAGCTCGAATGAAAGCCAGGGGAGCTGCAGGAGTGGGACACAGTAATATTGGGCATCTGGGAGGTGGAGGGGTGTGGGCCCTCTGTCTGTTCACTAGCCAGGTCCTGTAACCCCAGGTCTTGACCGCAGGGCAGGCTGGGCACCAGGCCCTGTGGTGGCCCTGTTCTCCTGGGGTGTCTTGGACATGTGAGAGAAGGTGGTCCTCATGGCCTGGTAGCAGGTGACCATGCACTTGGGAATGTCAGCAACCACTGGTGGGGATGGCATCCAGCACCTGCACCTGGACTGTTCCTCAAGTGAAGAGCTTCATCTTGGGTTGTAGAAGGTGGAGTACACCTCAGGGATGAGGGGCACCTGGATCTGGGGAGCCAGGTAGAAGACACCTTTCTTGAAAGGTGGCAGGTCCCCCCTGCTGTTCCATGTGCTCTAGACCCACATTTCGAGGTTCTTCCAGACCCTGCTCTTGCCCATCACCGTCACAGAGGTCCTGGAGTACTGCGGGTTGGTGAAGAAGGCGCCCTAAGGTACACTGTCAGGTCCATAGGCCCCATGAAGACTCGCTCCCTTGGGGCCATCTGCACACAGTGCTGGGGAAGGGCCCCCTGAGGCCTGTCAGGTCCAGGACTCTCTGGTGGTTAGAAATCACAGAGGTCCACCTCCAGCTTCTGGAGGCCCTTTACCTCAAGGTGAAGGTATGTAAGTGCTCAAAGGACAGGATGAACCAGCTGGTGATGCTCATGTTCACCATCCGGCCACAGTGGTGTGGCAGGCAGATGACTGTGCCATGGTGGGAACCAGGAAGGTGCCCTCGCGGTGATCCCCATCAGGTAATGAAAGCAGAAATAAACTCTCTTTGAGAGCAAAATATGACCCCGATGTCACATTTCTGTGTCTCCAGTGGTTACCCCGTGGCTCCTTCCTCCCACCAGCTGACCACCGGCTTTTGTCTGCTAGCCCGGAGCTTCCCTATACACCTGTTTTTAGGTAAAGTCCCCAAATGGGGTCTTTTGGCCTCTTTCTTATTCTGAACACAGGTTTGGAGCCACAACTTATCCTGACTACTGACTGCTTTGTTTGAACGGCTTTCTTTTTTATTTATTAGATTATAAATTTGTTGAGGTAGAGACTAAGTCTTTCATATTGTTCCGTATTCCCTTATATACTACAGTATTTAACATCCCTTACATGTTATGCAGTGACTTGTAAATAACAGACACTTAAAACTGTTGATGGAATTCAGGGCCGTTCCTAACCTGTAATTTGGCTCTGAGGATTGTTATGTCTGCCAGCCTCTCAGAATCATTTGCCTCATGCTCATAGAGTCACAGAACATATTAATTATTCAAAACATATTAACTGTTCAAAGTTCCAATTGTATTCCACATTTATGGCAGAAAGAGTTTTGAAAATAAAATATTAAATCAGAAATTTACTGTCAAAAAGGTTACAAAAATTATCTGGGGTGGCTGGGATGTTGATATATCTGGTCTAATCAATGACACATTTACATCTATATTACTACTAAGACTTAATTTTCAAAGAAGGGACCATCAAAAAATAGTCAATAATTTTTTAATGTAAATATCTGCTACTCAATAAGATAAATAAAAGGAAATTCATTTTCACAATGTTTGAAATAGTGGTCACGAGTATCAACAAAAGTAAAAAACATTATTATTTTTTTGCACAATTATTAAGTTCCAAGCTCTGTGCTAACTTATTTGGGATACACTGATAAGCCAAACAGATATGCATGGAGTCAGCTTCCCATTTAAATGGGCTTTTACTATAAAGGAATTTGAAAAATTCAGTTAGTCAATTAGATCTGGATACAGTTATGACATATCTTCACTATAAATTAGTCTGCAAATTGTGGCTGAATTTCACTGAGAAACATTTGGTCTGTGGAATCCCTATGCATTTGAAAGAGATACAGTGGTACTGCTAGGCTAGGCAGCTGCACAACTGAACAAACCTAATTACTGCCTAATTGCTAGCAGCTTACAACTGTCCCCCCTTTTCCCTGTTTACATTGTGTTTTTGAAATAATGGTCGTTGAAGTTAATGTTCTAAGGGTTGTTCTGGCCTGTGGACTTGGTTGATAGTCTCATTATTCCATAGATTCTTCTTGGTCAACATAGGGCTGGAGAAATGTGTGAGGTCAAGGGCAGACTGGCCATGGCCAGTCAGTTCAAATTGGAATTCCATCTGGAGTCCATCAATTCTGAAATGCTGGCCTACACATGCCGTGGGGGTGTTGCAGACAAGCTTCAGGGGCTGAGGGGGGAAAATGAAGACTTCCTTCTCTTTGGAATTTACGGAATACCCACGCTTATTCAGCCCCAACTTCCGAAAATGAAATGTTTCTCAGGTCTTGATATAGGATCGCTGCAAAGATTCCGCAGCTCTAGGGATTTTTGTCTAAATGTGGTGCCTTCCAATGGCGTCTGCCAAAACTGGCCTGGCATCTCTCCCAGCAAGAATCCCACTGGTATGCTCTGTAGTTCAGATATCAAAGTGAAAATAAATGTCAGTTTCCCAAACCAGGATGCAGAGAGCTAAGAGGTCGTTTCTCAAATAAAGCCTGGATATAGGGTGTAGCTCAGGGTCACGAAATAAGTCTGTGTGCAACATACAAATGGGATGACATCACCCCACAGAAGGTGAGAAATGTACCAATGCCCTGGGAAGAATA